ATCTATCTATCTGTCTATCTATTATCAGATTAGAACCACGCACTCAACTGAACTCTTCGCTTCAGGAAAATGGTGAATCATCCTGTTTAATGCTCGGGGGTGATTTCAACTTGCCGGATTTGGATTGGTCAGAAGACATTTCAGCCCCTTTAAACAACGGGTGCCGAGCGGACCACAACGTTTTCTGTGATTTAATGGGGGACAACTTTTTCCATCAGTTTATCTCTGGTCCCACTCATATCTCCGGCAATAAACTTGACCTATTGCTGTCCAACTGACCCAAGGTTATTGCGAATGTTTCAACTTTGACCCTCGAGATGACCGTTTTTCCTCGGAACATTACGTTATAACATTCACAGTTAAATTAAGATTCAAGAGATCTAAGGGATCCACACGGCAAGTGTTCGATTTTAAAAAACGAAACCTCGACGCTTTGCGGGAATCCCTGTCAAGAACACCTTTCCAAATTGCTGGCTCCCAGGACATCGACGAGCAGTTGTCTAATTGGGAGGATTTGTTTCTCTCAGCCGTAAATCATCATGTCCCAACAAAAACAGTTCGTGACATAAACTTTCCGCACTGGATCAATGGCGAAGTGCGGGACCTAATTAGAAAAAAGTACGCTGCTTTGAGGAAATATCGCCAGAATAACACGGAAGGACGCAAACAAAAACTACGCGCTCTCAGTAAAAACCTCAAGTACGTTATACGATGTAAACACCACCAATACCTGGCTAAAATTGAAATGTCATTCAAGGACAATCCTAAGATCTTTTGGAGCTATCATAAAGCTTTTCTCGGCGGCCGATCAGGCGCGAACTCACGGTAATCTCTTACAATAGTGTAGCTGCCAAAAAACCAGAACAGAAAGCGGAGCTTCTCAACAACTACTTTTGCTCCGTATTTCTCTCGGCTACTCCTGTTGTAAACATCACGCCATTTAACTCACTAACCCATATGGAAATTTCTCTTATAGAGGTGTCGGTTGATGAAATCTGAGAATGCTTGAGTAATTTAGACACCTCAAAAGCATGCGGCCCCGATAGCATCCCGGCGCGCCTTTTGAAAGAATGCATGCTTTGCATGCTTTTCAAGTTTTCTTTGAGTCGGAGTAAGCTTCCCTATGAGTGGAAAACTGCGGATATTACACCTCTTCACAAGAAAGACTCAAAAGAACCCGCCGAAAACTACCGGTTCATATCACTCCTTACTATTACCAGGTAGGTCTTGGAACGTTGTGTGGGCACCCGTTTTTACGATTATGTGAAACACTTAATCAACCCGATTTACAACACGGGAAGTTGCTCTAGATTCTCAGAAAACTGATGTCCATGCTGTCCAGTTTGCCAAAGAAATTTATGCTGAGATGTTAATTGATAAGAAAAAGGTAACTTTTAGATTGGCTGTGGTGCATGAATCAACATCATCCCGGTGAAACACGCAGAAGGTCACGAAATCAATTCGACCATGAAAACATTGCAAACCCATTTGTAGGGCATTGAATCACCATTGAATCACCATGTGCAATCCCAAAACATGAAAGAAGTACTCTGTGGGGTTTGTTGTCGTCGAGAATGATCTAACACCCTTTATTGGAGCAAGAGCCGCACAACGAATGGAACTTATAACTGTTAATGATGAAAACTTTATTCTGACCACACCCCCTGCCCCGAAGAAATGAACTGCAGGTTAAGCAGATAACTGCTGAGGAGCTGATAAAGTGATATTCAGATGTATTTGACCGACCATTGGGAAAATTACCTAGAGAAGTCCACTTAGAAGTTGACAACAGCATTAAACCTGTCACCACTTCAACCCAAAGAGTTCCTACAGCACTCAAAGATGACCTGAGAGAAGAGCTAAATCGATCTGTTGAGAAACAAGTCCTAGCACTGGTAGAAGAGCCAACACCATGGGTGAACAGCTTAGCAGTCACTAATAAGAAGTCGGGGGCCCCAAGAGTATGCATTGATCCCCCACCACTGAACGAGGCGTGGAAAAGAGAAACCTATCAGATACCAATACTGGATGAAATTCTCCCAGAATTATCTCATGGAAAAGTATTCTCCACAGTTGACCTGCATTCAGGTTATAGGCACTGCGTTCTAGACCAAGAGTCCAGCCTGCTCACTATGTTCTCAACACCGTTTGGAAGATATCATTGGCACTGACTGCCCTTCCGTTTGTCAGTCTCCTCAGCAATTTTCCAGAAAAGAGTTAACCAAGCTCTAGAAGGCTTGAGTGGAGTGCTCGCTATTGCAGACAACATCTAAGTGTACGGCATTGGGAACAATGAACAAGAAGCCACTACCAACCACAACAGAAATCTTGAAAACCTACTACAAAAATGCAGTGAGCGTAGCATTGCACTCAACAGGGACAAATTGAAGTTGAAACGAAAAGAAGTTCCCTTCATGGGACAAGTACTCACTCCACATGGTGTTAAAATAGATCCAGGAAAAGCAAAAGCTGTGACCAACTACTCTTCAGGAGTCACACCATAGCTTCATTAATTTTATAGATAACATGAAGGGGCACATCTAGAGAGGACATTAGGACCTCAATACACTAACTGAAGAATCATGTAATCATTGTATTACAATCAAGAGTCACATGACTTCTGAAATAAACGAGCTATTGATACCATATTGTAACAGCCCACACTCCTTTATCATAACTATTCATTCTCACGCAATCTGAATCATCAAAAGAAGAAGGAAGAAAATCAAGATAAAACCAACAGTATTTTCTGAACTACAACAATTGATAACTATTGATAAGTCTCACATAACTTCCACCATGGTCAATTCGAAATTTCCTCCACCCTCAGGGGCGAATCTAAGGTTAAGTCAAGGGGGGCCCGGAGAAGTGTCCGAGGGCATGCTCCCCTGAGAGATTTAAAAATTAGGTCTTCGGAAACACGATTTCTAGCATTTTGAGCGAAAATTTGGCAAGAGTTCCATATAACCCCACACATTAATTATACATAGAGTGTCGCAAAGAAACTTTACATTTAGTCATTATGAAATGAATGCATAATTAATGAATGGGGTCATATGGAAGTCTTTCCGAAAATTTAGGGCGGGTTCGACCGATGCACCCCTGGATCTGCTCCGGACCATTTCCAGAATATTTCCTAAAGCGGCAGTTTCATCTGCCTCTCTTTTCTCAATCTTTGTAAGCTTTTTTCGCAATCTTTATTGATTCTGGTAAAGATAATAAACAGTACAAATGCGAATTTCACACTCGGTTAAGTATAGATACATCATTGCACACTTGTGTAAAAAATTATTAATTTACCTGTGTACATCTTTATTTTAAGATAAAGATCTCACCAGATTGAGTAAGTAACGGTAACTTTGCCACCATCTATCCGTCATCTTGATTTTGTGAACCAGTTCCAACGTTGGATGGCTTCCCTTTTTGGCTCATTTTCTAAGATATTGGGTTTGCAAAAGGCACACAAAGCTGAACCATATAGCTTTAACAAACACACTTTATGCGTGTGGCTACAACCTTCCTCAACAATACTGGGGAGAGTAAACACGAGGCATTCACGCTGCGCATGCGTTCAATTAAAGAAAATCCAAAATGGCGGCCGGCATACGAGCGAGACAGATAGGTAATACAGAGTCTCATTTGGTTCTTTTTGTCGTTGACAGATCATTAAGCTGAACATATTACTAACTAGCTGCGATATCTATAATCTCACTTTTGACGTTTGACTTATCTAAAAGGTTTGTAATATTAATTCTTCTGATGGCTTTCTTGAAGACTTGAAGACTATTTTTTCTTTGAATATTTTGACTTATTTTCCCCCCCATAAATAAGGGCCTAGATATTTAACACTATGTTTCCCATTCTTCACCGTCCTGAATCTAGGAATGGGGAATTCTTCACATCTTAGATTATAGTGTTTATCTTGCTTAGAGAAAATTTCACAAATGGGCTCAAGTGCCAAGGAGTTTTGGACCTTATACATTAGTATCAAAATGTCTTGAAGACGCCTAAATTGTAAATTGGCCACTGTAGCGAGTTAAAAAGCTGACATTTCGAGCATTAGCCCTTCGTCAGAGGGAATGATAAGTTTGAGTAATCTCATTTCCTCGTTGCTGGATGATGAGCAGATATTCTAGGGAGGGGTTTTATGGTAATCACTTCTGGGAGTTAAAGGGTTAAGTTCTGACCAACTTTATGTACCACTACCCTGCTCAGTTTGATATTTCAAGTTCTTTATTTCTATTTATAGTCTTCTACATTCTGACAGAGATGCTATCCCAGAAGTTCCTGCTATTTATTTTGTTTTCCCTAGTGAGGAAAATGTGAAGAGAATATGCCAGGTTTTAAACATTTTTAGTATTTAAATAAAGTATGTCTTTCTACAGTTTTTCATATTTTTTTCATGACTTAAGGTGAATAAAGAATAAAGCTGTAGGTGATTTTTAAGATAATTGTAGATTCTCCTTGACTTTCCTGAGTAAATATGAGGAAAATGAGAAGGTAGTAAAAGTAAATTCTGCTCACAAACCAAGTGGCCCATCAGGCCGGCCCTAAACTCTTGTTTCCATAGCATGAAGTGACTAGGAGTATTTCTACTCCCACCCTGGATGGGATGCTAGTCCATCACATGGTTATCCCCCAGCATTAAATTTGCCAGTACCCATTTAAACACCTGAGTGAAGAGAGGCACTGTCAGGGTAAAGTCTCTTGCCGAAGAACACAACGCAATGTCCCTGGCCAGGGCTTGAACCAGGATCACTAGATGTGGAGTTAAGCGTACTTATCCAGAAGGCGCTGTGCCTCGTGCTGAGGAGTTTCTTAAAGCTTTTTTTCACACAATTCTCCAATATAATCTATATGAATGTGGTTATTTATTCCTACTCCTGATTACTGTGGTGTTAGTATCCCTCACAGGTCATTCTGTTAATTTTGTCACTTTTTAAGGATTGCAGAAACCAACTTTTTGAGTCTTATTACTTGAATTTCATTTCTGCGATATCAAGACATCGTTTAGAAGATCTTGTCACGGCAGCTCTACAGTCAAATAGTGTCACTCAAATCACTAAGGTACATGGAGCTGCAATTTGAAGTTTGTTGAATTGCTTCTTAGGTTCTAGAAATGCTCAGTATTGTCATTTTTTAGTCAGACATACACAAGCTTAAAAGTTGGCAGAGGTTTTGCAAACCTGCCCTGAATTACATGTTTCAGGGCGCTTGAGCAGTTTCCATCAGGGAGAAACAGAAAGAGTGATTAAAATAACTAGGATAGTGTAATCTGAAGCCAAATATTTAGGTCATGGAAAATAGAAAGGAGATGTGCAAAAGGTTTTCAAAAGTTATTGATTTTTGTGAGTTTGAAAGGGAACAACCTCAATTAGATTAGTATTTGTCTATTACTTCTTAATGGAGAGAATAAGTACAGATATCAGATTACTGTTAAATTCTGAAATCTGGTTTACATTTTGGTTTTATTTTTCTTCGATAGATGTTTGATCAGTACTTAAATTTTATTTCTTTGGAAGATGAAATGTTTACAGTGAGAAATCAAGACAGAGATTCAATATCATACTATGGTAAGAACATTCTAGTTGAAAGTCTGCCAGAAGTGGTGTCTAAGAACTTACAACCTGTTTATAGAAAGGTGGTGGAAAGGTACAGATAATTATCAGAATTTTTCTTTTCCCTTTGATATCTAAGAGTGACCAGCATCTGACTTCTCCTACATTAAGGTCAAAAGAACAATTGAAATGATCATGAACTGGAGAATCTTTTGATTGTTTCACAAATTCTCTTTCTCAGCACCTTAGCAAATGTATGGAGACGAGTATGGAGAACATTCATACTGATGTCTTTATTTTCCAGCACTTAACAGACCAGATGCCAAAGATACAGACATTGAAATGCTAAGAGATGTTTTAGTGGACAGTCTCTTTAGTGTACTGGTGTCTTTAGGTAAGTTGATTTTCATGAAGAGAAGAAAGTGTTCATACTTTAAAACTTCCGTGATCTCTATTGAGTTTCAAATTGAAATGTTATGGAATATGCTTATCACATTTTTCTGTGGGAAAGGCGTAAATTAAAGTTTGTGCAGTTGTCTTTATCCAGGAAAGGACAATATACATTTAGTTTCTTTATTTCTTCCGGGACTGTCCCAATAATAAGACGTACAAAGGGCAATGCTGCTGAAATGGTAGTAGAGGTAATCAGTAGCTTGTGTTCATTTTTCTTTTCATTTGCCTTCTCAAACAAAACAAATAGTTTTGGAAATGCTTGAATTTTCACTCCTCTCCCAAAAAGGTACTCCTCCAAGTGGCCATAATTTCAACCAAGCATCCCCACTCCACCCCCTCCTTCTTGAATTAGTGCTTTCTCTTGTTCCCCTGTTTTAAGGAGGTGCACTGGGATTTTGAGTAGTGGTCTTGTTTAGTCATTCTCATTTGCCCTTGCAAATTAATACTGTTCTCATCCAGTTTTTCATTCAGTTTGGAAAGTTCATGACAAGTGCCAATTGTACTGCTTTTAATTAAAACTGAAGGGCCTGATTATTTAACCAAAGTTTAGCTTTTGTTTGACAAAACTGCATCCTATGTTATTTTCAAAGTAAAATAAAGGCTTTAGTTACTTGTGGGACTTATTTTACAATGTTATGACTCTTTTATAGGGACTGGATGAAAAGTTGAGAGAAAACCTGAGAGATTCTAGAAACAGTCTGTTTACAACAGATATTCCATCTGGCCAGTTCAGGTTTGTGAAGATGTGCACAGCATCAATGGTATGTTTTTAAAAGTTATGAAACCTTTGGCCATAGGCCTTGCAACAAATCATGTGAACTCAGTCTGGTTTGAATTCTTACAAGGATCACCGTAGGATCAATTAAATGAGTTGCAGTGACTTAATTTTGTAAGCAGCACTCACAAAGCAGTTTTTTTTATAAGGCCAATCTGTGGTAGTCAAGACTAACATATCTTTGCAACATCAGTTTTCAGCGACCAGTGCTAGTAATTTTGGATCGTAACAGGGATCTTTTTACTCCTTTACATCACACCTGGACATACCGAGCTCTTGTGTATGATGTCCTTGTAAATGAGAGAGAAAGCTTTATTTATAGAGAGTAGCACTAAATAGCAAGAAGTTCTCAGAAGACCCACCCATCCCACCCCAGGGGAGGACAACCATCACACAGTAATCTCATGCATAGGAATTTAGCGTCTCCTACCCCTAACTCTGCATGAGACAGGGCCTAGGGTTTATTTGTCATTATTCAAGAAGACAAGAATATCTATCCTTATCTTCATACTATAGAAAGGTTGCAAATTCTCCCCAGTTATTTTAAGACCATGAGTGTTGGTCCAGCCGGGGCTTGAAGCCTTGACCTTCCACTCAACAGTCCAGCGCTCTACCAATTGAGCTAACTATGGGGTGGTTACAATATTATTCAGCTTTGAACTCTCCTTTTACGCCCAAGAGTGCCTAGGAGCTAATTTCTTCTTATAATATCACTCCTGAATCACACATTACTTTAACAGTAACAGTAATAATGGAAGTGATCACCAACTAAAGAAGCTCGTTATTATTAAACAAATTCTCCTTGTCAGCACCTTAGAAAATGTGTAGAGAACAGTAGGGAGAATATGCATACTGATGTTTGGGTGCAAAGTGTTAATGCCATCATTTGTAAGATGAATAATTGGTGAGCTATGATGTTGTCAGTACGTTGTTTACTTTATAATTTAATTCTCCAGGATTTACATCTGAACAGAGTTGTTGTCAAAGAGTCAGCAACGTCAAACACCCCAGAACCTTGATGTGTAGATCCTCTCCACAGACATCCCAAACAAACAAAAGTTAAGTCGTATGACCTCAGTGCCACAGATAAGTTCTGTGGTTTGCACAAAGGAAGGTGAGTCAGACATGTGCCATCTATTTATCATTTGGTGAACCCTCTAACTTCCAGACATGATTAAGATCTAACGTCTGCATTTAATATCTATATACACATACACTATCCAGGAAAAAGGTGATGAGAATACTTAAAGTTATCAGGATGAAGTTGTTATCTTAACCCATTAATGGCCACAGCTTTTGTGGAAAACTGTGTTTTGAAGCTAGTCCAGCAGATTTCAGGTCACTGTTGGGGTTTTAAAAGCTCCAACTTACCAAAAACCACTTGACAGCTCGTGCA